GTTTAGTAAGGCCCTTTGACACCCAGAGATAAATATCTCATATTTAAATATGTCCTCATCTAGACAGTAGCTTTTTTGCTTTGTTATTAGTTGGCCACCATGGCTTATGATGATAGGTTAATTGCATTAGCATTTTACTGTGTGACTTACAAGCATATTAATTATATAGGACAGTAATGACGGGCCTATTACATGCATTAAGTTTGAGCATGTGTGTGTGTTTGCCCACACGTGAACTCTGGGCCTGCTGTAGATTGTCTTTGCAGTGATTTGAGCAACAGCAGCATGGGGGCTGACCCTGTCACCGCGTGTAATGGCCTCCAGCTTGAAGCCTGCAATGGCTGCCCAGCACACAGCAGCCAATTAAAATTCAGGGAAAAGGCCCCACTGCTTGGGTTGATTGGTGGAGACTCCTCCTGTGATCGGCCGCCGTTGGATCCTGCCGCTTTCTTTTTGGCCAGCCCCTTTGATCCCAGCCCCGTTTTGTCAAATAAATCATTTTCCCCTTGGCCCCTTGACTGCACTTGGCAAGGATGCTTCCTGTTCCAACTCCTAACGTCATGGTGCAATTCGCCATCAGAGAGAAAACATGGCCATGCATACTGAATGAGCTGAGAGTTAATGGACAACGATACCACACCATCTCATCCATGTATGGAACTCTTTAGCCACAATAAATCCACCTTCAGTGGCATAGACATGCTTCAGTGCTTATAGTTATAAGCAAAGTGACAATGTTTTTTGTTGCATACAAAAGCCAGTGGGTAATGGGTTATGACTGAGTCAAAACAAGAGAGTTGAGGCTGCTAAAAAGCCATATCTCTGGGCATGAATTCCCTTCTAATAACTACCTAACAGTTTATTAATCATCAGTTTATGAATCATGGCATCTTTAAGAACTGCATAGTTTTCATGGTAAACAGTGCTGTTGAAATGGATGGTTTATGAGAGGGAGCATTTGAGCTCAACTGCGATGTTTCCTGATCAAGTACATCAGCATCATATTTGAAGAGAGGGCTTAATTGATGTGTCTCTTTATTACAGTGCATTTATTCGGGCTTGGACAGGGAATTACCCAATCCATTTAAATTAAGTGTCCCCTCTATTAAGGGAGTAGGAATCCCCCTTTAAATTAGATTGTAGGCTACTCAAGCTTATCTAATGAATGACAATATACTATATGATAACCAACACAAAACCCTTAATTTAGTCTTCCTGCATGGTAATTTGACTCATTCGGCATGCAAACAGCTCATATAAATTTACCTCAATTGGTGAAAGTGAGTGGAAATGGTGATTATGCTAAGGAAATAATGTCTATATGATACATATGCAAGTGTTCATGGCCCTTTTAGTACAACTGGACAGACATAAAATGAGCTCCCCAATGGAAAGGAATGTGTACTTAGACTGTAGACTTCAGATTTATAGAAAAGTCTAAAAAAGTGTCTAAAGTCTAAAGTTTAAAAAAAAGTGGGAAAAATGTTCTGCTTTTATGTTTGGAATTTTTGTCTCAAAGCTCATTCACTCTCCCTCTGTTGGTCTCTTTCTCGCTCTCCATTAGGTTCTTACTCTCGCTCTCTCTGTCTTTCTTTCTTTCATAAACAATTGTGCCTTTTAGGTTTTCTTTGTGAATTATTAGGACTGTGGTGATTTACAATGATGCATTCATTTCCATTTCAGTGGCTGGAGACAACTTTGACAGCGTTGATCTTGGGAAGCCAAATAAATAAATAAATAAATAAACAAATATGCAAAGTTATTCCACCCCAGAGTGCTGTGGCATGAACTGCGATCGACACCCATACCCTCAACATGGCACGCTCGAGTAAGTTCAAGGCTGTTCTGCCTGACAGGCTGTCCGAGGCTGAGAGGTTAGTGGGGTATTTTTTGGTGACCTTTTTTATTTGCATGAATAGAACATTTAATTAAGCATGCAAATGGCCACAACAAATTATGTTCTTGAACCCAATGGCTGCAAGAATAACTGGAAGAAGTAATGTGAGGACAAAGAGCAGAACTCATCAAGGAAAGAACTGGCATTATGTATCTGTATGATTTTAAAGGTTTCATGCTTCTCATATGACTGTGTGTACAAATCACACCCGTAAAAGAATTTGTGTTTTGAGGATCTTCTCTCCTCATCGCTTGTGCTTTATTTTAGTCTGTGCGCAATTGAAGCTTCTGGCCACTTTCCTTTCCAGATTCCAATTATTTTCCCTAAAACACTGCACATTTGGGATATGAATATTTCATATGATAATATATGCACATCACACACCACTGTACACACTCTATTCTGTTCATTGCTTATTCTCTATTATCTGATAGTTTCTTTCGGACCGATGTGTGTGGTCCAATGCAGGACCTCCAGCCATATTCCTTCAAGGTCCAGTAAACTCCCAATCCCCCCTATTACAGAGATTTGATCAATGACCCAAAGTTGCTTGGGCACAAATGATGTGGCTAAAAGGAACTGGAAGGGTATTATCAAACTGGCACAGTTGCACATGGCAAGTGGATTTTGCTGATAAAAAAATTGCCTGATCTTATTCCAGCAACCCGTAGTCCAATCTTCTTCCACTTTTTTCTGCTGCAAAAGGTGTTAGTTTATCAGATAAATGTGCTTGCACAGTACAGTAGTGTTATATATTTCATATAAATTACCCACCAGTAAACAAACACGAGCACACAGACCTCAAGGCTATATCTTCGGGGTCCTGCTGTACATTGAGCTTCCTTCAGAAGCACTGAGCTCTGCTGAATCTGATCAATATTTCATTCATACCTTTACAGGGCAAAAACTGGACACACACACACTGACACACCACCACCAGCATGACCTCCGTTACTAGAAATACAGTCCTGTGTTCTATCATGCACTTTCACATTGTTTTTTGGACAGCTTTGAGGGCTTCGCCATGTGTAGAACTGCCAGGTGCAGGCATCATAGATCTGTATCTCAAAAAACTGGGTCAGGCATGGCCAGCACAATGCAAGAATATTCTGCAGAATAACCCTATCACCTTACGGGGGGGATTAAATCTCCCCTGACGATAGTGGTGTGAATCGATTGCGTGTTTTGGATGTTGAGTTGAATGGATGAACCTCTCCAATAACTGGATCAATACCCAAACCAGATAATCATTTAGCCATCTCATCCCGGAAGCTGTCCTTATCATTTTTCATGGAAGGAGATGGCTTTGGAAGAAAATTAGTTTCTGCTACTGGAATGAGTATGTTGCTTCATGATTTGTGCTGTGCTCCCTCTAAAGGTGAAAAAGAGAAGTGCAGCTACATTGTCACGATGTCTGAAAGGTAAGAATACGGTTCCAATTCCAGCATCTTCCTAAGTGTATAATTATGTTGTTATTAAGATTTGAAAGGTAAAACTGGTGGCAGATCAGCTGAGAGATTTTGAAGCCCCTGCTGGTTAGAGACATGAGACAATCTCAGCTTTAGAAACTTGCTGGTCACAAAAAGCACATTTTGTGCTACCACAATTAGTTGCGGCCTTGGGTCCTGCTTTTTATAACAGGATGAAAGCTTATGTGGTCGCACTACGATTGCCTTCTTAAGCATCATTCATCGCAGTGGGCTCAGACATTATTCCATCCACAGCGAGACAGTTTGAAGTGCTGGGTTGCGAAAGCCAGGGAAGCGGTTCTAAAATGAATCATATTGAAACCAACTGTTTAATCTCAAGGAGAGGGAGAGAGAGAGACGGGGAGACAAACAGAGAGTGCGCAAGGGAGAACATGGAGAGGCTTACACACATCCACGACGGATTAAATAAAAAAGCAGACTGTTTCATATGTTTCTGAGAACAAAAAAAAAGATATTAAATACCCCCCTTATTTCAATTGAAATGTCAGTCTCTCTGTGAGAAAAGAGGATTAATATAGGCCTACATGTGTGAAACAATTGAGTCTTCGTAGTGCCTGCCTTGAGTCCTCCTACAGCGCTGCGCTGCCTGTGGCCCATAACGAGTGAGGATACACAAAGATCCTGCCACCACCCATGAAAACAGGGGACAAGGAGGAAAAAGAGGAGGCCTCGTCCCACACATCGCTCCTTCTCTCCTCTTTGGCAATGTCCAGGCGTCCGGCCAAGCCTAGCTGTGATGATTTTCACCACATGAGCAACAGGCCACTTTTATGTCAGCTCTGCTTCACCACTTGTGAATCTCCTCCTAGATTGAGGTTTTAAAGACCCTGAAGCGGGAATGGGAAGAAAAAGTTTGGAAGCCGAGCAAAAAGACTGCGCTCCTTGCTTTGAGAGCACCCCTCAGTGCTGCTGCTTTGCAAAGAGTAGCTACTCCTCGGAGGGGAGTTCTAGATTCAGTTTGAGGACGGCGTATTGGATAAAACAAAATCCATCTTAATGAGATGGAAAAAGGGGGAAGAAAAAAAGTCCCCCACAGACCGCTGATACACCAATAACGAAAAAGGATTAGGCAAGCTGGAACGTTTACAACATAAACAGGTCTTGCCACACGGCACAAATTACAATTAGCAGGGCATTCCAAATTAAACTCTGCATGAACCATGGCTGGCTGGCCCAGAATAGCTCCAAGGGGACGTTGTGACGGCACAAAAGAAAAAAGGAGCATGCCTTTGAGTTCTCAGATGAACACATTTGAGGCAGTTTGGTTAAAAGTGGACATATTACAATCCAAAACGCATCAGGATGTCAGTTGTCAAGATTTGACAAGCTTCAGAATTAATTTATTTCACAGAGAATGCTTTTGCAGGACCTAAAGCAGTAAGTTGGGAGCAGTCAACAGTCCACGTAGTAAAACAGCAGTTGAAAGCAGGTAAGACAATACAGCAGTATGCACGCACAGAAAACAAACAGATCTCAGACAACGATAAGCCTCTGCAGCAACCGCTACTACGATACAGATAAAATATACGTGCGGTATAGTACAGTATAACTGCGCTGGAGAAAAAGCTTAAGAAGCTTCTCAGAAGCTTAAGGAGACCGGGGTAAAAACCTACCCAGACTGCAAAGGCTGACTGCACTCCTCTCACTGTTCTGCGCGTATCCGACCAGCTTGTAAGAGGCAGTCACAGGGCTCGTCCCAGTCGTGGCTTAAGTGGAGGAACGCAGCTCGGGGTCCTTCTTCTCTTCCTCCTCCTCCTCTTCCTCCCAGCCCTCCACCCCTCCTCAGCAGCCTCCTCCGCGAGGGAAAGGTAATCCAGCCATTGTCACAGTAACATTCCCTGCCACCTGAGAGGAGGAATCCATTCAAAACCGCTGGCTCACTGAGCTATTGCTAACCTGCTAAGTGCTGTTAAACACGTACCGATGAATTTTGACTCTCTTCAGGGTCGTAGATATACAAGGGTGAAAATGTTGTCAGAAAATACCCAAAAAGTTTTCCTCAATTTTAGACAACTTCGGGTGGAATCGAGAAGCTGTTCTTCATTTATCTATTTATGTATTTGTTTTCATTAATTTATTTTTCGAGCGGAAAAGTCAAACGTGCTGATGATGCGTTGAGCTGAAGCGCAAAAAGAAGAACCCCACGCAGGGGAGCAAGAGGGAAGAAGATAAATCCACACGGAGCGGTACTCCTCAGAGCACACACGGTTATCCTCTCAGAGAGTCTCCTCCTGTCTCCGTGACCTCCGCGGTGAGCCCCTCTCGGTCGGTTCTGAGCTGCGAGCAGACGAAACTGGACTAACTCCGGACTCTCTCAGCCAAAGCGTCTATCTTTTTCAAACGAGCTCAGCTCAGTACGAGCGAGGACTCATAGACCGCGCCCACAATCCGCCTCCATCACCGCGATTGGCTGAGCTCGCCGCGGTGGGCGTAGCAAAAAGGGACTAGGCGGAAAATGGAGGGAGAGGGGGCGTGAGATGGAGAGAGGTCGGGGAAGAGAGGAGAGGATGGAGCAGACTCGGCAAGCCCTGAAGGGACGGCGCTGGATTAATAAAACCGAGAACACATACGCCGTGGCGAAACTTTCCCGAAATGTTGCAAATGTGTCGTGACGCCCGGATTCGTACAAATATAAACAAAAGTCTCGAAGTTTCTTAAGGCGCTCGCCTGGCCCCCTTTCTGGAATGTGGTTGATCAAGTACGTCTGTACCAGTTTTTGTTTCTTGCATTGACACACAAAAATTGTACTTGGAAATCGCATTTTTCTGCATGTCTGCGAAAAAAATCATTCCTGTGCGTTAAGACAATTTATAATTGTTACAATTGTCCCCATATTCTTCTGATCCGATAGTGGCCATATATATGAATATAGCTTTTGGAATGTGTAGTTTTTATATATTTTTCACACAAAACTAATACACTATCATTCTTTGTTAAAGCCATTAAAGTTATTAAATCTTCAAGCCACATTGTTTGCTCTCTCCACCACAGGAAGTCTGCTGTTTTTTTCAAAATGTTGTTTCATCAATTCATAAAATGAACAGTAATAACAATAAACACTGTAATAGCCATAATAAACAAGAAATAAACAGTAAAACAGCAATATATTTTATTTAATGGAGAAGTAGGAATGGGGCTCTATCTAAATCAAACACTAGGTTAGAACATGAAAAATGTATCCCCAAAGTACTTTTACTAGTATCTATCAGAAATGTGTACATGGATATTTAATGTGTATCAGCTTCCCTGCTGTTACGGTTCTCAGTCTAGCCTGTAATCATGATATCCCAGAGCTGAGTTATCACACTCAGGATTTAGCCTTTGTAAGAAGATACAATACAAGGGGTGCACAGGGTAAGGTGTAACACACATAAAAAGATTTTTTTTAATAAAACATGCTTCTGGTCAACTTCTCGTATTCCCTCCCATAGCAATGTTCTGTTAATTCGACAGCTATTCGACACAAGTTTCTCGGCATTCACCATGAAGACTGCTTTTGTACCATTAAAGTAATTTTCTTCATCCTAAGTGTTTCTTGATTATAGAGTGTAAGTCAGAGAATTCACACATATTATTTCACCCTAAAACCACCCTCTTGATGCCTGTAACTTAGCACAATTTTGAGGCATATAAATAACTCACAGGCAGAGTTAGCCAGGCTAAAGTTCTAGCCACGAAAAGCTTTGAAGTTTTGACATGATGTTTTAACCTCCCAAAGAACTATGAGATCAACCCCACCTGCCCACCCCGCATGTAAAAGCTCTTAGTTGTATGGATGTTTTTATTGACGTTTTTATTGACATTGGCATTTCTGCTTTTACTACAAATGTAGTCAAAAACCCAAAACATGTTTAGTGTCCAAAGTTTACTTTTTTCAGTTTTTTACTGGAGTGAATGTATGAGGCTAATGACACTAACAAATATGTCCTTAATTAGGATTGTGCAATCTGCATAGCTAAATAACCACACACTTGGCCCAAACTGTCCAGTAATCCAAAATAGACTTGCTCATGCAGTTTCTGATGCTGTGTGGCAACAAAAAGTAGACAAACTTTGGACTTAAAGATGGCTGCTGCTATTGTTTTTTTAGTTATGTAACTCCAGTGTTACATAACAAATAATAACAGACACCGAGATCACGCATTTTGTCATCATTTCCACTGCCAAGTGACCTGTACTGTACATGAGTACCCTTGCTAAATTTGGTTACCCTTCTGGCAGGAGTACCAAGCGTGCTGAACCTGAATGTATGGGTGGAGTTAATAATGGTGCAAACCATTGCTTAGTCGAAGGCAATCGTCACAGAATCGTCATGCAGTGTCATGAGTCAAATAACCAAAATAAAAAAAGAACACTAGCTAGCCAGAATTGTTGCCTGTGACTTCTCACATAAAACCAAAAGTTAAAAAGGTAAATCAGATCTTGAAGCTCCTCAGCTGTGGCTGCTGTCGTTTGTGTGTACTGTTAATGCTAAGTTCACATGAAAAAAAGCGTGTAACTGCACATGCTAAAAAGAACTCTGTTACTTTTACGGTTCTGTTATGCAGTGGGAAGCAGACACAGGTACTCAACAGGGGTACGGATAGTTCTGGGATAGGATTTATAACCATACTGTGCTGTACCATACTGGATAGTGGTAAAACACCAGGAGTTTGAGCACTGCTGCATACTAATGTAGAGGGAGTGCTAGCGGGTCTATGGTACTAATGTGTCTATGGCACTAAGATGACTATTGCACAAGGAGGTGCTGCTAGGACTACCAGCAGTTGTTATTTCATCATTTTGAAAATTCTCACACCTGAACTCTGAAGTGCTTCGATATAAATTGCATAATCATTTTCCTGAGAGCATCTAATACAAATGACAAACCTGTATAAAATAAATACACATTTAAAAAACATTTATCAAAAATACTGCCTGTGCCTGACTACACTGGCACTCTGCAAGGAAGCACTTCACTGGTTCATGCATTTAGAAACAAAAGCTGCCTGCAGTCCTCTGTGAAATTATGTCGGTTCACATTCCTTTGAATAGTATTACATCTTGTGTGGCAACTTTTCTTTCCTTCCCTGGCCTCTCTCTCCCTGTGTGAAGAGGCAGTAAGGAGAAGTGCGGCCTTTGAAATGAACATTCTCCCCTGAACAAATGAGAGATTAAAGCACACATCTCTGGCGCATTACGGCGTTTCATGGCTAGAAGTGAGCAATTTTGACAGCACACAGTATCCAGGGGACGTATTTATCTTTTGTTTCAGAACACAAGCGACTTACGTTCCACCCACACTATATTGATATCTTTAGCGCTTTAGGCTTTATTTTATACATCCGACCTCAGCTGCAGCTTTTTTTCTCTACATAAAACAGTTATGAAGATTAGGTTGGGTAAGCATTGTGGGCCTGGCATCCTGTGTAGTATTCTTCTTGACTGTGGTTGTACACCCTAAACTCACTTGAGTGAGCTCTTCCCTGCTTCCAATTGGAGATTTTGCAGCATATCATTCGTCTCCTCTGCTTGAACTTGATAAAAAATACCCTGGCTCCCTGTTTTGCATTTTTATTTGCTTTGTAAACCTCACTAGCCTTCTGCATGTCTCTGCTTCTGTGCGTACCACATAAATTCCATGAGCACCATTTGGCCATGCAATGCAAATGTTAGAATTTATAAAATAAAAATGATGCTGCCATAAAACCCGCTGATTGCATATTGTGAAATTACATTAGAATAACACATATCTCTCTGGGCGGGTTTTCTTTTTGAGGCTCAGGAAAATCCTTGAAACTTGTTTCACATGAAATCTTGGAATTTTAAATGGTGGTGGTTTTCTTTCCTTAGGTGCTAATTAACTGTGTAGTGGTCAAAGCATATTCAAGCTTTTCTTGTTTTTAATTATCACATGAACAAAGCATGCTGTAACTGTATATTTGATCCTAGCTGGTATAAAACGATTTTATGAGACAAACACTTTGTGGAGTGCTGAGTACTTATATAAATGGTATAACGGTATAAGTACTGTCAGGGAACAATTAACATAATAGGGCAGTGGAAGGAGGCAGTTGCGATATAACCATCAACGTTAAGTCCCTCTTATTTCAAGTGTAATGGTCCATCCTAGTGTGGAGGATAATGTTGTCAGGCTAGTTTAGCTTCAAATGTAATACCTAGAACAAATGTGCTAGCATGGGCACACCGATATCGCTTCTCCTTGATGTTTTGGCGGCCCTCAATGTCATTGCTGCGAAGCAAAGACAATTAAGGTGTATAAATATGTAAATATGTGGAGGACACCTCACCAGGAGCCGGGTAATGACATTTCCGGCCCTCGTTTGGCTAATCCCCAAGTCGGCCCCCGAATTAGAAACCTTAATGACAACCGATAAGACACAGATGGTCAAACTCCGGGGTACGCAAGTCTCCTGGCCTCCTTCTGCTGCTTGTGGCATCGCTTCTATGTGCCAGCGATATATTAGCCCGCCAGCTGCCGGAGGCTCAAGGGCCTCATCGTGGTCCTGAGCAGAAGGTCAAGGTGCGACGATGTTTGCTAGCACGATCACAGCACCCCGTGCTTTCGGCTAGCGGCTAGCTGGACACTCCAGGTGATTCATCTTTGAAGGGGGGAGGGAATAGGTGGCAGATGCACTCCGCTGCCATTCGTCTTGTGAAGCTGACATATAAAACGCTCGGAGGGTGCAATCTTTAGAGAGTGAGCTGGCAGCCGTCCACAGTCAATCTGGAGTCAACTCCTCCATGTCTTTTCCTTTTTTCCCCCTTTCCTCCCCTTTCTCGCATGCATTCAGATGTGTCTAACAGGGTGTTATTTCATTGACGACTGAAAGAGAAATTATGTTCTTGGAGCCACAAGGCCTGCAATTTGAAAAATGTATGCAGACTAATCTAATTGTACACGTCATAACAGGGCAAAAAGACAAATAAAACAATAAATAAACAATAAATTCAATTACTGTGTAACAAGGTCATCTCAAGCTAAATGAATCCAATCAGAAGTAGTGTATGAAGAAGGTTTTATTTTGTTACCATACAGGCTTGATAGATGCATAAAGAGCATCTTTAGCCCATAAATTCTTCTGAACATCTTCATAAAACATTAACAGACAGCTCATCTTTATACACAACCACCAGGATTTTTTAACATGGGAAAATCAGCTCTAATGTCAGTCACATCTGTCCGTAGTATGCATCATCACTGTCATTTCAAAACTACACAGTCTTCTTTTTTGTGTGTGAATATCCTATGACAAATGGATCAATAGAAATGGTCCAAAACTACTTTCAGTAAATCTACATAAAAGGTTAAAATATT